TTCAACAGTGATGATCGAGAGCACGAATGCAATGACAAGAATCACCAAATAGAACCAATCAGGAACCTCTTTGTACTTTCTCATCATTTTGGTGGTTGGGTCATTAAACTTTCTGAAAGTATAGCTATCAGCCCTGACGAAAGTCGTGAAGCTGAAATTTTGTATCGACTCTTTGAAGCCGACAATTGACATCACAACCGCCTTTCGGATTGTATACCACTCTTTGTAAGTGTTGTAGAAGAACGATAAAGGATAAAGTGCGAAGAAAGAGCCGTAAATAACAATATTTGCAGCAGTGTAGAATGGAGGTGAATATTTTTGATACTTCTCTGTGTCTAGAAGTCCATCCGTGATGATCTCAGTCACATCAAACCTCTCTCCTGTATTGGTGAAAATACCATTGCTATTGATTGGCAGGTATGCTGTCCAAGAATAGTTGGAGTAATACACGCCAATGATGATGAAGAACCCAAGAAATGCTCCCAAGTACATATTCCAAATCGTCAGCCATGGGGTAGCCAACGGGTTCACAAGCATGGAAACAACATTCCAGTCAAATGTTGGAACTGGATTCAGGCCCAATCCTGATATACTTCCAGTAACAACAGCCAAGTTGAAGTTGTTTGGTGCAATCCAAGTCATCCAGTTGAAGGTACTCAAGGCACCAAATACGTAGTTTGGCAGCCAGAAATAGCAGAACATTGCAGCAAATGTTATCCAAAAGAAATTGTAGCGAGAGATCTTCCATCCATGAATCACTTCTTTTCTCTCTGGTTTCAACAGGGCTCTGTTGAGGGCAAGAGTAGGTAATAGCGTTGGCCAGACGGCTCTTGCTGGATAGATACAGAACTTTCTCAAAATACCAGCAAATGAGAGTCCCATGAACTGAGTAGACATCGTTAATAGAAACTGAAAACCAAAGTCGACCCAGTCATTATTAAAGAACTTTCTTTGCGTGACAATGTTGGAGGAAACATAAACAGAAGTTCCTGAGACACCACTGAGTATAGTTGCAAACATTTGTTCCTTGTATGAGTATGGGCCAGGGTTCAGTGGAATCTTGCCACCGAACCATGGAACCATAACGTTTGGCATGATATATTCCCAAGCTTTACCACATGGGTACATAAGAACTGAGATAACTGCTGAAGAGAGTTTGATGGAAGGCATTCTGTGAAAGAAGAACTCGTTAATTCCTGAGGCTATAATAACCCAGATTATAGCAATTGTATAAGATCTTATAGTCTCGCATGGCTCATCATCGTCAAATATATCAGTCACAGAGCGAACTTCTGGGTAAATTGAGTGGTAGTAAAACAACGTTGCCGTTAACTTGGCTCTAAAGTTCACCTTAGGGTCATCCATGTTCAGTAATCCATTTGAACAGTCGTTGATGAACCCCCAATCTTCAGCAGGGAAGTTAACGTCATGTTCATGTTCTCTGATGGTCTCCTTGAAGATGTCCAAAGCACGTTCGTCAGTCATCTTTATGATCTTATCCAAGACGTACTTCATTTCATCGTTCAACTGTTCATCATCAGTTGTGGAATAACCATGACCACACTTTTCTAAAAGCATACTCAGATCCTCATGTGAGAGACCAGTATAGTACTCATGAACTCGGTTTTCGTCCCAGATTCTTTCACCAAAAGTAGGGTCAGAGTCTTTCTCTGTGCCATCAATGGCACTGCCAGAACCTGAGAGCACTATCGTTTCGTGTGTCCCTATGGATTTTTCCTTAATAGTGTCATCATTAAAGTTGTTCTCTCTCTTTGAAACTTCACACATTTCGTAACTCATCGTGGTTCAACGAATTATGTGCAAATTCATACTCTTTGTCAGAATGTATGGTCAACCATGAAGAGAGAACAGCTGTCAATTTATACTTCCCAATGAACGCTCAATCTCAATCTTGTGGATGTAAGTTTCCGGTCTCTCGATTGATTTCTCTGTAATCACGCAAGGTCATCTTATCACGGATCAGCATTGGTGGTCACTTGATCAATATTGTAGAGGGGTGTATGATATCAGCTACACTGTGACTTTGGAGTCTTCATGCACACCAACAAGAATGTAGTACGTATTTAACCCTGATTACATTACATTCAAGAACTCTAATACGGTTCTCGAGGTTTTTACGATTGGAGTTCTGTACTAATTGGGAAACGCAGCTGTGAACATGATGTGTCTTGCTGCACCCAGCACGGCATGGCTTCTGTCTCCACCACCCTACCGCGTACTCGTGTTCGTACAATTCCAAGTACCAAATTTGGACCATTCAATGTATTCCAGACTGCTTCAAAGAATTTTTCAAAGTTCTATTGTGCTTGTTTTGACTTTTTACGGGTTGCTTTTGCACTTCACGTTACCTTGCAAGTCGTGGATTGTAGGTGTAATTGAAAGCTTCAAAGACGAGCCCAAAAGTCCATGTATTACAAGTCAACACTCGTTACTCACTATTTCTTTCTAGTGTATACTTAACCACTCTCAACCCCGTGCCTCCGTTTATCACTATCAGTGCCGTACGGGTCGAAGGTGACAGATGCGTGAAGGTTAATTCTTCGCAAGTCAATACAACAGAGTGTGTGCACAGGTTAATGTCTTTTTTTTTCTAACTGACCTCAAAAGGGGCAAGTAAGCTAAGCCGTTAGTTCATTGATTGGTAAGCCTTAATTCATTTGTTTTATTGGTGGTTGAACAAGTGCGTTGAGTTCAATCACTGTCGGAGTTTTTCTCTCCTCAATATAAACGAGTGGAGGATAACTAACGGCTTGTAGCTTCAACATGCGCTGCATTATCTACTGAGTTTGAAATCCCTCAATCAGCAACATTCACTAAATAAATTCTATGTTCTTAAAGTACTGAGTTCTGTTAGAAACCTGGTGTATCTATGTCTTGGAAGTGTGATGCGTAAGCATAGTGGTGAGCGCTCGTAAGTTGGTGCTGTATGTCTGTGCCTTCAAGCCGTGAGGTCATAGATGTTCGGGTGATTGGTGGCATATAATCTTGGCTCTTAGGGTAAACGTTGTGATTCTGCAGCACTTACGTTGTGACTATATTGACATCACGGTTCCAATCCTGTGATTTCTCTTGGAAAGCATCATCTAATCGATTTGATCATTCTTGTCAAAATAGTCCTAATAAACTTGCATATAACATCAACAGCCTGTACAACACTTCTTCATTTATGGAAGCTGCAAAGCTGTACAACGTAGTGCTGTTATGCGATAACGGTCGATACCATGATGAATCTTATCAATTAGCTCACCGATAATAGCCGAAAAGTATTCAAGAGAATTCCGGTTGTGGCTGTTTTGATTATAACCCCATTTTGTTCCTGTTATCTATATAAGGTACAGGGCATAGTGCCGTGGTTGAGATCCACGGTTATGTGTGATGGTCTATTTAAAGGATTTCCGGTTCCCTTTCACAGGAACGGCAACTCTTAGAGCCACATGGACTTATCTGCCTCAACTAGCCATGAGGCGAGTTGTTGCTGTTAGGTTTTAAAGCATTCATTACATGCCACACCTGTAAGCAGAACGTATATGAGAACGCCTTGAAATGCACACTTTAATAAAAGCATCAATTTTGCATGTCTTGAGGTTTATTTATTCGGCCGATCAAAGCATCCTTAGTGGATAAGCTTAAATCGGAGACATGATACAATAATGGAAGACTTGATGTTTATCGACAATTCAGAGAAGCTATGGCTTCATATTCGAGTAAGTTACTCCGAAGATAAGAGCAAATTCATTAGTGTGTCCTTATTTGTATCAATCTTCCTCAACAGCTGTAACACGTTTTGTTATTCTCCCACTGGCAAACCTTGCAAATCAACAATATCTTACCAATAAGCTTATCAGAAGTTATAAGTTGCCGTTAGGTATAAGGATTGGTAGAGGTGTGCTGCCTTGTCATTCGCTAGTCAAGTAACCACTGTCAGTACTAGACATTTAACAGCCATATCAACTGTCAAGTAAACCAACTCTCAGTTACGTTACATAAACACCAAAAGAACACTATGTCCTGTAGTTACGCGACGTATGCTCTGGACTCAAAGTTATAGGTGTGGATTTCTTAAACGGGGTGGTGATATTCTTGTTTCAATTCACACACGTTATCACGTCACATATGTAGCTACACGTTCTCAAGTGTCATGAGATATCAATATCGCAATTTATCTTTACACCTATACGCTCATATCTAGAAACATGAAGCATAATCCATGTAGCATCTCAATCAGTTGGATAATGGCCCATTTGTGGTCCAAAGTAACCTCTCTCAGTATCAGAGACGTCATATAGCGCCACTTGTCCAACACCACCATCAACTCCTTCATACATAACGTTGTTTCCCCACCAGCTAATGTTCTTTGCGTGGAATTGTACAGCAAAGAAGATGATGATAGCGGAGAAGGCAACACCTGCGGTCAACGCAGCAGCAAGGACATAGTTGTACTTCTCAAACCAGGCAACATAACGCTTCTTTGTGAAGTTCATAAAGAAGTAACCAAGGTACAGGCCACCTGTCATATATGTCAGGTTGTATGGTGCATAGGTATTGATGATACCATTCAAGAATACCGTTGGTTCTAGTTGACCAACATACCTGTACCAAGATGTACCTCCACCCCAGCGTCTCAAAGCAATGAAAAGTAGTGCAATGAGGAAGCCAATCAAGAATGCATATCTCAAAGTTGGATATAATCCGGAGAACACAATCTTTGGTCCAATAGTACCCCATAAAACAGCAGCTGAATAGAAAGTTCTCTCTTGTGGGCAAGAAAATTTAGCACTCTGGTCAAGTTGGCAAAAGTCTTTGATGTTGGACATGGACCAGTTGACAACACCTAAGAAGACAAATGCCTGGATGAAAGTACCAATCAATTGGGCTCTGAAGATAGCACGTGGTGCAATTCTTGCGTAGTGACCAATCTTCATGGAACTCACAAAACTGTCAGCCTGGCCATCGATGTTGTAACCAAAGGCTTTCAGCGTCATAAGTGCAATACCATTACCATGAAGAGCATAACCAATGATCAACTCGACAAGTACATTTAAACCAAACTGGACACCAGTAGTTGCAACCAAGACAGAGAATGGAATCAAGAACAGAAAGTTGATTGCAAGCACAAACACGATACCCCATACTGGTGTCTTTGACTCCTTGTAAACCTCCACAGTGAGTACTGCAAAAATAAAGGCAACCACGAGAATGACAATATAATACCAGTCAGGAACCTCTCTGTACTTTCTTACCATTCTAGTTGTTGGATCATTGAACATCTTGAAATATTGTGTCTCTTGTTTAAAGAATTTCTTGATGCTAAACCCCTTGAGCATATCTTCAACTCCAGAAGATGTCATTGCAATAGCTTTTTTGATTGTATACCATTCTTTATAAGAGTTGTAGAAGAATGACAACGGGTATACTGCAAAGAAAGCACCATACACAAGAAGATTGGCTGCAGAGTAAAATGGTGGTGAGTACTTTTGGTACTTTTGAGGATCAAGTAAGCCATTTGTAACAACTTCAGTCACTTCGTAGGATTCACCTGTATTGGTGAATATGTCGTTGCTGTTGATAGGCAAATACGCAGTCCAGTAGTAGTTGGAGTAGTACATCGCGATGATTATCACAAATCCAACCACTGCACCCAAGTACATATTCCAGATGGTGATCCATGGCATTGCCAATGGGTTCATGAGCATAGACACAACATTCCAATCAAATGTTGGAACAGGATTAAGACCGAGTCCTGAAACACTTCCAGTGACCATCGCAAGGTTGAAGTTTGTGGGTTTGATCCAAGTCATCCAATTGAAAGTACTCAACGCCCCAAATATATAATCAGGTAACCAGAAGTAACAGAACATACTGGCAAATACTATCCAGAAGAAATTATAACGAGATATCTTCCATCCATGGATGACTTCTTTTCTCTCTGGCTTCAACAAGGCTCTGTTAAGAGCAAGAGTTGGAAGAAAAGTTGGCCAAACAGCTCTGTCTGGGTAGATACAAAACTTTCTCAATATACCAGCAAATGACAATCCAATGAACTGTGTGGACATGGTTAACAAGAACTGATACCCAAAATCAACCCAAGTGTTCTTGAAAAACAGCCTCTGAACAATGATATTTGATGAAACATAGACAGTTGTACCAGAGACACCACTAAGTATAGTTGCAAACATTTGTTCCTTGTAAGAATATGGGCCTGGGTTCAATGGGATCTTACCACCGAACCATGGAACCATAACGTTTGGCATGACATACTCCCATGCTTTCCCGCATGGATACATTAGGACGGATATGACAGAGGATGACAATGAAATAGCAGGCTGTCTATGGTAGAAGAACTCGTTGACACCAGAAGCGATAATAACCCAAATAATAGCTATGGTATAAGATCTTATAGTCTCACAAGGCTCCTCATCGTCAAAGATATCAGTGACCGCACGAACTTCAGGGTAAATAGAATGGTAATAGAACAGAGTCGCAGTAAGTTTTGCTCTGAACTTTACCATAGTGTCGTCCAAGCTCAACTCTCCACACACGTAATCAGTAATAAAAGACCAGTCGTCTTCTGGGAAGTTAACATCATGGTCATGTTCCTTGATCGTCTGATCAAAAATATGAAGAACTCGTTCTTCTGTCATATTAATCATCTTATCCAAGACGTACTTCAGTTCATCGTTCAGCTCTTCACGATCTGTGGTGGAATGACCATGACCACATTTCTCTAGCAGCAAGTTCAGCTCACTGGAAGAGAGTCCTATGTAGTAGTCATTGACTTTCTCTTCATTCCATTCTCTTTTACCGAAACCAGGTTCGATCTCCTCAGTTTCGGTAAAAGTCAGGAAAATATCATCCTGGCTACCAGAGTGCTTGTCATCTAAAGGTTTTTCATCTATATCGGTGTTCTTTTTGGACGTCTCCTCCATTTCGTAAATCAGATTGGGATGTTAGGCTTCTACAATATCAATGCTAGCCTTGGTTTTTAAAAATGTTTATCCTTAAACTGACTTAAATGTGTAACTTTGGGGGTTTATATAGATCATTCTTTATAGGGCACTTGTCGATAAAGGGGAAGAGCAGGATTTAGAACGCGTTATCATACGAATGGCGACTGTGGTTTTCTTCTTGATTGACAGTCATCAGTTGTAACTGTGGAGAGAAGACCACCTTACAAAATGAGGTAGATAATTATGCATGAAACGAAACTTGAACCATTTCCACAACTTTTGATACGAATGGTGGAGAGACGCATAATACCGACGGTTCACAACTTTGCATGGAATAGAGCCCGCACGGCTCAAGTGGTATTATAATACCATAATACAAAATCATTCCACTATACCCAATACAGAGTGTGAGGAGATAAACATAAGTTTAGAGCCCGTTATCACGTATCTGAGAATGTCGGGACTCCAAAAGTCCTTCGTCTAATAGCTGTCGTGGCATTGTAAACATTACGAGTGTATAAAAGCTCACTTGGTAGTTATCTTTCCCCTCGAGCTCGGCTATTGGACCATTACAGGCAATCACCAGTGACAACTATCTCTCAAAGTGAATTGACAAACACGCTATACATGACATGACTCCTTTGACTCAGCATCCAACGTCTAATTCCTCGTTGCATATGTTATACGTATCTCTACATCTGTGCCGTACGGGGCATTAATTTTCACAATTCCGTAGGACTTCAAGACTCGATAAGCAGAGGAGTTGAGCTACCTTGTGGTGGTATATTCCGCGTATTTCTTTGATCTACGTTGCACTGTACTGTGTTAGCATCCGCTGGACCTAATTGACCAGTTTGTTCAGCGATATGAGCAGAAGAGCCCCCGCCTTGAGCCGACCGTCTATGTGATTGGAATCGTGCACAGACTGTAGAAACTTCCCCTAGAGTTAGAGTACCCTCCTCCTTTGCAATAATTAATCACTTTTTCACCGTAGAATATCCCTCAATACCTGCTGGAAACGTATCTAGCTGAAGTCACCATATCATTTTGCTTTCCTCGCTCAAACTCTTCAGCTCTTATGTGACTATTTGGTTCATCAACATTATCCGTCAATGCCAAGATGCCGTTTGGGGGCATCGGGCTTAAACCGAAAAGACAAAAAATACTGTGAATTACGGCTGTGTCTGTCGATCACGTTGCGGTTGTGAACTTTCGGTTGCTCCAACACTTAGTTGTTGTTTACTCTTTTGTTCATTGGTTGAAAGACTAAGGTGGTTTGATGTTCAGAGTTGCCATCGATAAGACAAAGGAGTTCCATCGTGTGTTGACCACACGGGGTTTGGAAGTGTCTTATCAAATCTCGTTTGTCTTTGATTGTTCAAAGTCGGTACGTGTTTCGACCATGCGGGCTTCCACGGAGTGAAGTCTCTACAAAGTTCTCAATCAGGTCAAATTGATATAGTCATAGATCCGACTAATGTTTTACACCTGCCCTTTCCGCTGAGCACCTGTTACAATGATTCGAGAACTTGTAGATCCGTGTGCCGTGTGCAATTGAAGATCGTCTTATCATCACGAAATCCATTGCAACCAAGGCGAATTTGGTTAGACTTCGGTCCTTTCTTGGTAGTTCACAGCGTACTGCCGATTTGGCTCTGATTTGACGCTTCATTACACCATCATTTACCCTAAAGGTTTGGTTGACGGATCTTTCAAGCTCCAATCAAGTGTAAGCTGAAACACTCAGACATGTTATATCAATTGTGGAATGGCGATCAGCGACCTAATAAGTGCGTCCAGCCTATGACGTAATTTTGATCAACCAGTAGCACAACCAGATCACCAACAGTGTGAACGTGCAACTGTACGATTAGCATGTACCCGTGGGTTACCATCTCCGAAAGCGTCGATCTATCAATTGAACCAAAACATATGATCTATAGCAGTAGATAAAGCAGCTCTCCAACACAACTTCAATGATAACTTGTACCATAATCCCCATAAACCTCGAGTGCACGCAGGCGTTTCCAAAAAAAAGACCACGCCTGTCCTTCCACTCGAAATATTGTGCATATAGTTAGCATGTGTATGTATACCGTATATGTATGCCATACGTGATGCATATGAATATTGAAACGTAGTAGAGCATACAAAACAGTAAGACCAATGAATCGATAGCGAACGAATTGCTTAGTAGTCTTAGCTATATGATCTGTTCATAATTGGTGATGGAGCTACCTCAATATATATTTCGTGTGTAATTTCAGGAGATTGGTCTAAACGAGTTTGAGAAACCGAAACAACCATTCATCAATTCATTGAACTCCCAAAAAGAGTGTTACAGCACTAGGAGGGATCTATTTGTGAGATAAAAGCAAAGCAGATGGAATACACAGCTGATATTTGTGTGAAGATAACTAACCAGGTATCTGGTTTACTCGTTTCAAACTGGTGAGTAAAATCCTAGAATATGCGACGAGTTACTTACACTCGGCTGAGCGGAATCCTCCTCTTTCCAATGTGAATGCCTCGGTTCAAGAAATATGACGCTATCCTTCATGCTTGGTTTTGAAGACAAGAAGTGATTTCATCAGATATATATTTTTGGCATCTCTCCTTATACTTTACTCGTGGAGCCCAAGCTTTGTAGATCGGTGAAATGCTGTGATTTTGTATGTGTTGAGCGTATTGCGGCTCAACATGGGAGAAACAGTTACACAGAGGAGTAGTTGAAATTCACCGATATATATAGACCAAGGTGCTATTTTCCAGCTACTATGACCTCACATCGTTATATAGTTACTACTCTGGTTGTATGGAGTGTATCAGATACCTCATTCTGATAGTTGAGCCAAAAGGTTGAGTCACTTTAAACATCATCGTCATTGTGCTTTTGGTACCTTAAAAACAGTATGAAATGTAATACAAACTTCCAAGGTAAAAGCAATTGCAAAATTCATTATAATATAATGTTTGGAAGTATAATACTGAACTTCATTATTAAGCTTTCTTTTGATTGTACCTAAGCCTCTTGGTGAATTTTGAAGAAGACCAAACAACATTATCATGAGTTAAAAGGATGAAGCAAGAAAATGGAAAGAGATAATATCAACTAAAAAAAACCTGTTAAATGTAAATCAAACAACTTATACGTTGCCAACTCTTTAACTAAGATGTTCTGATGGTGCTATCAAATCATTGAGATGCTATGACCCCTCTAACCTCGTCACCCTACTAAATTAGTACAAATCAAGCGAGATATCATTGGCATCTGTAGTCCCGAATTCTCTCACCCGGACACCACACCCGCACACCAAACCATTACCCAAATAGGATAATTACCATATTAGGGTAATTCTCCCGAATTTGGACATTTTCACCGCGCTGCCTCCAATGTCCAACCAAAAAAGCTCTACAAACCCGCGTGGGAAATTTTCAAAATTCCAAAGCCCTTGGTCTAGCTCTCATAGAAAGCACATCATCGTCTTTCGTTTTTGAAGGAAAGAAAGCGGTTGTTCACGGCCAGTCGGGAGATGTTTCGCTATTCTTTGACGAAGATCATTCCAAGAAGTACGCTGACGTCTCAGCTCAGACCTCTGGCGGTGCGCTCATCACAGCTTCAACTTGGACTGCATCAGTACCAGTCTGTAAACCTGAGACTCAAATCACAGCCAAGCTTCCAGAGCCGTCGTACCGTTATCACTTCCAACGTTGACTGGAAACCTATCAAGACCACAGACAAAGAAGAATGGACATTATCCAAGTACATCTTCCTATCATTGTTGATTTTGATGCCGGTAATCTCGTTCATGTTAGGGACGTGGCAATTGCGTAGATTGAAATGGAAGAACAACCTCATTGCATCCTCTGAGGACAGATTGACTTACGACCCTATCCCATTACCAAAGAACTTTGATCCAGAAGATGCTGAGGATTGGCAATACAGACGTGTTATAGTCAAGGGTAAATTTGACCATTCAAGAGAGGTGTTTGTAGGTCCAAAGATTAAGAATGAACAGAAGGGCTATACGTTGTACACACCGCTTGTCAGATCAGATGGAGGTCCTGATGTGTTGATCGAAAGAGGATTCGTCACTGATAATCATGTGATTCCAGGAACAAGATCGCTACACCATTTATCCGTTCCTATGCATGAAGTGGAGGTCGAATGTATCATCAAGATGATCAATCCAAAGCCTAGAATCACCATGCAAAAAACCGACCCTGAATCTAGACTATGGCACGTCTTGGACTATAACGAGATGGCAGAGTTCACAGGGTGTATCCCACTGCATCTTGCGGCCCTTGTGGATCTCAAGGACCATCCAATTGAAACTGTCACCGTTACTGAGCCCAAACCGTGGTGGAAAGTTTGGGCCAGTGCAAAGACACACAAGGAAACACACCTGAAGGACATCAAACCTGAAGAGGTTCAAGAATTCTCCCAATATCAGTTCATGAACGCTGGTGTCCCAATTGGAAGAACGGCCACCATCGATTTCAGAAATAACCACTTACAGTACATTGTCACCTGGTATGGGTTGTGCTTCGCCTCATCCATTCTATTGTTCATTGTCCTCAAGAAGAAACCGAAGGACCCAATGAAGGATAAACTGAGACATGCACACAAGTTCATGTGAATAGGAGCAACAACAACACCTCGTTCCCAGCAACGGTGGAGTTCACTCTGTATATATATAATTCTTACCAGTACACTCATCGCAGTTCAATATGCAACTCTCTGGTTTGTGCCACACAGTATTCGTAGTTGTATGGTTGCGCGGATACGTGAAGGTGTAAACAAAACAAACAACATCAACAGCTGCTATATTGAAAGGTAAACAAGGCTAGAGAAAGGAAGAGAGCAACTATGTCTAAGAGAGTATCGAGGGGATCAACACCGCACAGACTATCACGGTCATCCAATATCTTACCTTCTCCTGGTATACACTACGAAATAGATCCCACACG